TAAATCCTGCGCTACCCATAATAAGGAATATAGAATATACCATAATTCCCCTAGTTTAGGGTCCTTAAGGTAATGCGGGATTTATACATCATCAACAATACTGTTGACATGTTGTAAAATAGGGGCCTGAATAATTACCAATATTATTTTGGGGGGCTCCTTATTATAATTGTAATATTATTATAGTACAATGGGCCCCAAAAGCTTATTCTGATTTATTAAGGCCCCTATATTAGGGTGTTTCAAGACACCCTAGCATTTATCGCATCGGGACCCCGACCCTACACAAAAGAGGGTTTGGCAAGAGAAGGTAGGGTTTACAAGGGCGTACCAGGACTCACGGTACACGCACTCTAGCTGATGGATTAGCTCCGGCATTGTTCGTGACAGGGAAGAATTTACCGTGAACTCCCATAGGTTGGGTTAGTTGATGGATTTAGTCCATCAGCCATGCAGCAATATTGCAGCCCGTACCATGACAGGAGCCATGTCGGGGTTTCGCCAGGCTCCAGGTATTTGGATGGTTTTGGCAGGGCTTTATAAACCCTAAACCCTGAACCCTAAACCTTAAACCCTAGACCCTAAACCCTAAATCCTAAATCCTAAACCTTACACCCTAAACCCGACATCCTAAATCCTAAACCTTAAAACCTAAACCATATGGGATGTGTCCTTCAGGATCCGTCCGCGTCTTCGACGGCCATGTACTGGCGCCAGGCAGCCGGACCAGTCAAATATAGGGTTTAGGGTTTAGGGTTTAAGGTTTAGGGTTTAGCGTGAAATAGGGTCAAATATTTACCCATACTATCTCGGGGGCTCCTTATGAAAATAGTATAATATGCCCCTAAGCCCTATTCTAGTTGTTCAGGCCCCAATAGTACAGCTTTCGAAGTTTGGAGGTTTGAGGGTTCGGGGTTTAGGAGTTATGGGTTTCAGGTTTGAGGTTGGTGGTTTAAGTTCAAAATTCAGGGTTTAGGGTTTAGGGGTTTAGGGTTTAGGGTTTGTTTCGGGCTTGTGCAAAAGCCTTGCCATTTCCACTCCGAGGTTTAGGGTTTGGCCGTACCGCTCTGTAGGGCAAGGATGCCACGCCAAGGGGTCACATTTCATACCCACGATAAGCACTACGGTTGATGATATAAATCCTGCATTACCTTAAGAACCCTAAACTATGCTAATTATGGTATATTCCCTATTCTGGTTAATGCCGGATTTATATCATCAACCGTATCAAAACGTTGGACCTTGCTCGCTTTCAGTACTGTGCCCGAAAGCATTATCCAAATCATAGTGGATTAGGGTCGACATGGGTCAATGTTAAATTGGGCCAGGGGTGAGTGCAGTGTAGACCGGACGTGCTCCTGGACCATCTACTTAGCAGCTGAGTGTGGGACAACAACATTCTGTATAGAACTGACAGTGTACACTTTTTTGGGCTCATGTGCTAAGCCAGCTGAGTCTATAAGGAGTGCAAAAGCGCAATAGCTCCCAAAGTTTAGGATACCTGAGCCAAACAGAACCTGCGAACGTCGCTGCATAACTTTCAACTTTTCCCATCACCATATACGGTCAACCTCAAAGTCCCCACCCTTTCCAAGGATTTAGTGTTTTTGAGGTCTAATCGTTAGGCTTATCTTTGCTTCTGGGGCATGATGTGGCCTTTAAGCAAGGGTACCGAGTACTGCGGTAGGTAGGCCTAAACCCTAAACTTACCCAAATCCAGTTGATGGCCCCACGTCTGCATCGATTATCCATTCCTGACATATAAATACTAACCAATATACATAAATATATATATATGTATGTATGTATGTATGTATGTATGTATGTATGTATAGATATAGATATAGATATAGAGTATGTCACGCTATAATAGAAGATAGAAGAATATAGAATTCTATAACACAACGCTATATAACATAACATAACATAACATAACATAACATAGCATAACAGCATAACATAACATAAATAATCAATGTGATAGTATATTATAGAACAGAACAGAACAGAATAGAATAGAACAGAATAGACCGTAAATATGTACATATATATATATATGTATATAGATATTTAGTTAATACCCTCCTAGATATGCATCGCAACCGGCAGGGTCTGGTCTGTCAGCAGTAAGGTCTCTGGTCCATTCTGTACGCACCGGGTGTCCTTGCCTTCAAGCAAAGCCATTCAAGAAAGTATTTCAGTTAGGGTTTAGGGTTTAGGGTATTCCAGTGGAATAACTCGCAAGCGCTCACCACCGGCACAAAATCTTAAACAACTTCAGCCTATGACACCTCTGCCAAAACAAGAGGTGACCCGAAGAGCCCGCTGTTTGTTGAAACTGCCATTGGGTTCGCACAGCGTTAGTCCCTAGTTGAGACAGGAGACTGCTAGTGCAGGCCCCATGAAATTTGCGTAGGTCTTGGTGCGAACCTGCAAAGAGTGTTTGCTGATCTGCGAAGTCAATCGCTTGGATTGAAACATCATGCGTTGCGTCTAAGTGCTCTACCCATAAAGATAACACTACCGACGCTAACCTGTGTCTGTCTCCGTGTATCAGTGATGCAGTCCCACTCGCACTGCATCTGAATGTCCTAGAGCTTTCAACATGTTGTGGACAGTCACTAGTTTTGGACATGTGTTGAGCATCTGTCGGTGGAGCCATGGCAGTTGAAATCACTGTGGCGCTCCTCAGCGGTCAGGCCATGTCTCTCAATTGTTCACCAGAGACTCCATTGCGGGATGTGAAGATGGCTGCCCGCGACCATTTTCAGATAGGTTTCTGCAGGCTTGTATCAGCTAGTGGCGGGGTGCTGGACCCAAGGAGCACAGTGCTGGACCTAGGTGAGGACACGCACATCACTGCCGTTCTAACCTCAGTGACAGTGCATTCCTGGCCATGTGGGCCCAACTTCTTTGCGATTTCAAGCTCTGGCTTCGTCGTGCCTTGGGGATCGTATCCAACACCACCTGAGGTTCTGCAAGACATACGATGCATCCAACAGACGGGCATGGGCTATGCCTATGCTGCCATCCGACACGATGGCTCCGTCGTATGCTGGGGTGACTCTGAAAGAGGCGGCGACTGCAGCGAAGTGCAAGGCGAACTGACAGAGGTTGTAGCTATTCAACCAAGTACATGTGCGTTTGCTGCGATCCGGGCAAATGGCACCGTGGTTTGCTGGGGTGACCCTGAACACGGAGGTGATAGCAGTGAAGTGCAGAGCCAACTCACGGGGGTTGTAAGTGTTCAGGCAACAAGTGGTGCTTTCGCCGCCGTCCGGGCAGATGGGGCAGTTGTCACTTGGGGGAACCCAGACGAAGGCGGTGATAGCACCGCTGTGCAAGAACAGTTAAAGCAAGTGGTGCAGATTCAGTCAAGCGTCATGGGTTTTGCAGCCATCCGCGCCGACGGCCAAGTGATTGCTTGGGGCAGCCCAGGGGATCACCTTGATGAACCCGAGGTGCAACGCAAACTGCGGAATGTAACACAGATCCAAGCGACCGCGCTCGCTTTTGCAGCTGTTCGTGCTGATGGTTCTGTGGCCACCTGGGGCCTTTCTATGGAGGGGGACAGCAGCCAGGTACAGCAACAGTTGCAAGATGTGCAGAACATCCAGGCAAATGGAAGTGCTTTTGCTGCCATCCGAGGCAACGGCACCGTTGTTGCTTGGGGGGATGCGCGATCGGGTGGTGATAGCAGCACGGTGAATCAACAATTGGGAGACCAAGAGGCTCTAGATGACAGCGATCGTGCAAGCATGCAGCATCAGCTGCCGAGGCTGGTGCAAGTTCAGGCCACGGACCGTGCATTTGCTGCTATTCGTCTTGATGGCCGAGTGGTTGCTTGGGGTGATCCTGCCCATGGTGGCGACACGAGCCAAGTCCAACAACACCTGTTCAATATCCAGCAGGTTCAGGCCACTTCCGGTGCGTTCGCTGCAATCCGAAGCGATGGTCCGGTCTTCGTCTGGGGTGATCCGGTGAGAGGTGGGGACAGCAGCCAGGTGCAAGACCAACTGACGCAAGTTCAGTACATTCAGGCCAATAATTCCGCATTTGTGGCAGTGAGGAAGAATGGAACCTTGGTCACCTGGGGAGACCCAGAATCTGGTGGCGACAGTAGCCAAGTTCAAGAGCTGTTCGAGCTGCTTTGAGCCATTGCTGTGGGCATGAGTTGAATACACATGTTTGACTTGACAGGCACAAGCTTGTTCGCATGCTGTTCCAAACATTTTGGCCCTTTTGGGGTCTTGACTATGATAGGCGGCCTTTGCAAACCGCGACCTTGTAGTCTAAGAACGCAGAATGCCTCTCCCCTTCAACCTCAGCAGTAGCAGTAGCCGTAGCCGTAGCAGCAGTAGTCGCAGTAGCGGTAGCAGCCGTAGCCATAGCAATAGCAGTAGCGGTAGCAGCCGTAGCCGTAGCAGTAGACGTAGGCATAGCAGCAGACGTAGCAGTAGCAGTAGCAGTAGTCGCAGCAGCAGCAGTAGCCGTAGCAGTAGCCGTAGCAGCAGTAGTCCTAGCCGTACCAAGCAGTAGCGGTAGCAGCCGTAGCCGTAGCAATAGCAGTAGCGGTAGCAGCCGTAGCCGTAGCAGTAGACGTAGGCATAGCAGCAGACGTAGCAGTAGCAGTATAGCAGTAGTCGCAGCAGTAGCAGTAGCCGTAGCAGTAGCAGTAGCCGTAGCAGCAGCAGTAGCCGTAGTAGCCGTAGCAGCCGTAGCCATCAGTATCTATAGCCGTCGCAGTAGCCGCAGCAAAAGCCATAGCAGCATCAGTAGCGGCAGCCATGGCCGTAGCAGTATCTGCAGCCGTAGCAGTAGCCGCAGCCGCAGCAGTAGCCACAGCCGTGCAGCAGTAGCCGTAGCCGTAGCAGTGGCCGTGGCAGTAGCTGAAGCAGCCGAGAATTAACCCAAAGCCTTAGACGAGGCAGGGATCCTGCCGTCAAGCTAAACCCTCAACCTTTCATTCCTAGACCCTCCATCTGCCCTCTATTAGACCCTAAATACCCCTTAATTTGGGACCATATACCCCTAGTTGAGGGTACTTGGAGGGTCCTGGTAGTGTTTGGATGTCGCACGATGGCCCCGGAAAGTCTGGCGTAGACATAGCTGCCTCAGGAGACTGTAATGCTTCTTCTCCGGATGCCTGTAGCTTTGTAGTCTCAACACCCTACACCCTAAACCCTTATAAACCCTAAAACCCTAAACCCGCAACCAGCCTGGTCTTGCATCCCAGATCAAAGTTCAGAGTTGGGGCCTTGCAAAATCCTGCATGATGCAGTGGCAAGGAACATAGCAGTACCAGACACAGCTTCCATGATATAGGGCGGCTCACAGAAGGCTATAAGTTGAAATAGATTAAATAGAAGGGATTTGAACAATTAGTAACTGTACTCTTCCCTAAGGGATCTTTGTTGTAAATATGGTGATCACCCAAGCAGTATTCATTCTAATATTAGTTAAGGACTCTACACTAGGCAATTCCGGATTGCATCCGACGTGTTCTTGAGTTTTGAGGCGAATCGAAAACTTCGACCCCTGTGCAGCCTAAAACCCATTTGCACCTTGGGCCAATTGGGCCGTCCCCATACCGGCCCCCGACACCCTACATAGAACCTTCCCCCCCTCAGGGCTTGCCTGATTCCTTCTTCGGATCCAGGTACCGCGTCAGAAGTTTTGAGCTATGGGGTTCGGTTCGCATGCGCAGACCCCAAACCACAAACCCTAAACACGACGTAGACCATGAGCCGCTTATACCACGACCTTCGTAGTATCTAACTGTTGCGAGAAACACCCTGCCGTAATCTATACGATGCTTGCTTGCCTGAGGCTTGAGAGACTTCAGTTAAGGCGTTTGCCCACTCTCGTGCGATGTTTGGTTATTTGTTTTGGGTAAATGCATTGAGATCATGGTCCGGTGTTTCTTATTCTAAGAAGGGATAGTAGCGCGCGCAGCAGTTTTACAGGCGAGAGCACCCCAGTAAACAAGAAATTCCGCACCCTACCCTCTCTACTCTTCCCAGCCCAGTGAACCAGGACGATCGCGATTGGAGGCTGAATCATGGGCCAATGAAGACCGGACTCAGGGACAGCCTTTATTGGGACAGAGTCTCAAAGTAGGGATCGCCCAGGACTCTAGACCCCAGAGTAAGCAGGATCTGCATGCCTGGACATAGCGTAAATAAAGCCCAAACTCTCCATCCAACTACGAAAAAGCAGACTGCACTAAACAAAGGGTTACAACAACTTAGAAACTTCGAGTCGAAATTAGATCCCTGCGAGGGCTTTGTGCTCCCTGGGAGTATCCGAATATGGAGCTGCCGGTTGGACATCGCGCTGCAGACACGGCAAAGTGCATCAAAAGGGCGACACATTTGCTTCGAAAGTTGTTGTTTAACGTCCTTCGGGTATACTTGTGGGTTCGGGTTACGCATCACCCAGTTATAAGTCGTCTCATAACCCAACTACATCGTAGAAAACTAGTCTTGGGGGCTAAGTACAGTCATCACTAGCTTATCACCCAGGGGTAGTTCTCTAAATTAGGGTCCCTTTTTATAAGGGTGCAGTATCATATTTGGGATCCAAAAAGGAACCCTAGATTATCAGAGGAGAACTACCTATATGCTGCATGCATTCCACTTTGTGGGGATTTGTAGACTTTGAACCTGTCGAGTTTACAGAACCCTTTTTGCCAAGACAAGTAGTCTGTTCTCTTTTTTCGGCCCGTGAACTGGACGACTAGGTCCAACGTCGAGACTTGTGCAGGGTGGATCGTAGGGGTCCGCATGCTGTTTCGACCCTCAAACCTAGGACGCCCCGGAACCCGATGCAAGGGCTCTCCTCAGGATATACAGGATCCTCCCGCAGAAATATTATAAACACAGAGAGAAAAGGACGTGACATGGGCCCTAGTGACACTTGATCTGCGCAGACTACAGTCCTAAACCCTCTTAACTTGTGAAGCCCGAATTAATTTTATGACAGTGATACAACCGAGTTCTTTCTTGCTAAAGGGTTTGAGCAACATATGCTGTCAGGGAGAAACTTGGGGAAAGCGGCTACCGCCAGATGTAATATAGGGGCCTGACGATTAGAAACAGACATTCACATTGTAAACGCTGGTTGCGCTTGAAAACTAAACCCAGAGCACTCTAGAGTCTAAACCTCCACAGCTGGAATGCTTGCCGTCTGCTCAAGGGGAGTTCTGATAGACAGCCCCACACATGGGCGCAGGAGGATGTAACTGAATCCTACACTCGGCTTTCAGGGGTGACAGCAAAAAACATGAGAATTCCTGAGCCCTTATGTCGCCATCTAAGTACTCTGCGGAACCTTTAAATTGCAAAACAGTTAACCCCGATATACCCTCCTCTTCAATTGTGCTCCCTTAACTTGCCCTATAGCTAAGCTTTCGGGTTATAACCTTATAACATGTTCCCTAAGGCCTACTGCAGCCCGTTGCGCCTAGCAGCGTTACTTGACTTCTGGTCATGGCTGCTCTTGGGGCAGTCCCCCTTGTGAGTGTGACTCATCCCCCTTCCACATAAGAGTTTCAGAAAGTGCCTTTTTCCTAAACCCTAAACCCTAAACCCTACGACCCTGAATGAAAATCGTAGTCCCGTATGCTTCCAGGTTCCGAACCCCAAGACCCCAAGGGCCCTTTCAGCTAAATCCTAAACCCTGCGACCCCTAAGTTTATCATAGTCTCCTATTCTTCCAGGTTCCGAACCCCAAGATTCCACCCCGGCAGCGCCATGAACGAAGCTTGGAACAACTTGACCAACTGGTACGCCGGAGATCGGCAGCTGGAAAGGCAGGGGTTTAGGGTCTAGGCGTTTAGGTCAGCGTTTCCCTAAACCCAAAACCCTAACGGTGTATAGGCTCCGGGTTCAGGGTGTAGGGTTGAGGGTCTAGGGTTTATGGGGTCAGCGTTGAGGGGTGTAGAGTTCAGGCTTTCGGAGATCCAGTTGACTGGGGCTTGAGCTTTACCTATAGTCTCTATTGTAGTTCCTTTTTCTTGGTTTAACCAGTTTTGTATTAAGGATCCCAAAAGGTAACCCCAAAAAGGAACTACAATGGAGACTATAGGTGGTGTCTGGGGCTTCCCACAGTAGTCTTCATAAGTTCATACTCGGTTCAGTTTCGTGGTGGTTTTTCTAGGTTCTGATACCGTGTGGAGCAGGTTGAACTTCAGAGGTGCTTGTCTATTCACAAGATGCAACTGTCACTTCAGAATTCTCTGTGCAACATTGTCCCACTTTTTTGCTTCAAATCTTTTGTGCTTAGACGCCCTGCCTTCAATGTATACAAGCCAACCACGTCTTTTTCTTGGGGATCGTTCAGATTGTTGGAAGATTGGGCCTGTGTAAATCCTCGTCTGAAACCCTCACCAACCGTCACAAACCCTAAACCCTAACCCCTAAACCCCAAACCCGAAACCCGAAAGCCTAAACCCCAACCCTAAACCCTAAATCCCTAACCCCTAAACCCTAAACCCTAGACCCTAAACCCTGAACCCTAAACCCTGAAACCTGAACCCTAAACCCTGGAACCTGAGCCCCGTTCAGCCGACCCCTGAACCCTTGGAAATCTCAAGCCCTGGCATTTTGGAGCCCTGGACCCTTGCGAACCTCCAACGACCCGGGAGCCTTGACGAGCACAGGCGAGGCTCTTTTGGGAGTAGTTGAGGGAAGGGACGGGACCTCACAATAGACAGAAAGATGTCTCTTTTTTTAATAATTCCTGCTGATGGGCGCAAGCCAGCATTCTCCATAATCGAGAGCCTGCCAGAATCGAACTTAGGGTGCTCAAGGCGATGAATTGTTGCGTCCATGAAGGTCCTGAGTCGAAGCCTTAAGTCTTTGACGACAAACCCCAAACCCTAAAACCCTTCAACCCTAAAACCCTAAAACCCTAGAGCCCTAAAGCCCCAAACCGTAAACCCTAAACCAAAGCCCTAAACCCTAAACCCTAAAGCCCTAAACCCTAAACCCTAAACGATGGCCCTCTGCCCTGAGTAGATGCAGAAGCCTCAGTGTGCCTCCGCTGAGAGGCTGGGGGCGCCATCGGAATATACCGACCAGAGTGACGTGGGGGACTGCTCCTCGGGGGTTTAGGGTTTAGGGTTTAGGGTTTAGGGGGTGTGGGGGGAGGT